ATTGGTATTTTGCCAAAAGCACATTTAATTCGAAAAATCGAAAATGTGCAATTTAAAGTTAAAAAAAAGTTTAACCAATATTGACAAGGTTGAAAGTTCGGATAATACGAGTAATAAAGCGGATTTATTAATTTCATAGTAGTGAAAAATGTTATTTGGGAACAAGGCAATGACCTTCGGAAAATTGTTCACACTTGTAAAATATATTTGAATACTATAGCAAAAAAACAATTAAATTGGTTAAAAACCAAAAAATCTATGCAAAGTTCTGCAAATTTGCAACTCTGCATATTATGAATAAAATATGCTTTTAGGCCTATTGAATGAAAATTGATAGAATTTTGGGCAATATATTTTACGTACTCGTATTAGGTATATGAAGTGACAAACGACGAAATTCAGCGCACTAACGATAATTTTACAAAAAATCTTTTACGATATTCACTGAATTTAAAAATTTCGAATATATTAAATTACATTAAAAATATCCTGTTAAAAATATAATTAAATTAAATATTATTTGATTAAAGTAATAAAAATTATAATATTTTTTTATATTCGATTAAATTTACTTTGATTTTTTTTATTTGAGTGTTAAAAATAACCTGGTTTTATTATTGTTTAAGCAAAATATTTTTTTTTTAACCATTTTTTAATATTATAATTTTAACCACCATTATAAAATATTTTTCATTTGTAAATTAACCAAATTTTCATATATTTATTTGTGTTGTGCGTTCATTATTATTACAGTAATGAAAATAATGAAGATTTTGAGAAATTTAAACAAAAATTGTGTAATTTTACAGATCAATAATTACTTTCAAGTTTTTATATATGTATACAAGTATAAACCCACAAAAATTATTTTTTGTTCGCTCTATATTAAGAATTTCATCTTTAGTTATTATTATTGAAAGTAGGTTATATTATTTATATAAGGTTGAGTTGAATAAAATAAAGACATAACCAAAATAATCAAGATATTCCAGTTCAGTTATTCAAAATAATTAAGTTAAGACAAATTCATTTAAGTCTGATATAAAACTCATAAGAAGCTATGGCTTTTGTCTATTTTTTCGGTTTTTCTATTTTATTTTTTATTGATTATTAACACAATTTTATTTGTTTGTTACTCTATATTGTGTTCTTAAATTGAAAAGTTTTTTAATTAATAGCGAAAAATTCGCGTCTTTATCGCTGAAAACAATAAAAATTTAAAAATAGAAAAAGAAAATTTTTCGCGTTTTAGCTTTTTATGTATGTATGTATATAGAATTATAATATTCTGTCTTGAAAATAAAAATTATTATTAGAATTTTGAATATCGGTATGTACATATGTATAAGAAAAATCAAAATGAAAACCTCAATGTAAACTCTTTTAAAATTGTAAGGCTATCCATATTATACATACAACTTAAATATTATTTATTTTTTTAATACAAGTCTAGACGATAAATTATATTGTTTGTGTTGTCAAAGCATTTTGAATGTTGCTAACCATTTTTACTAGATATTTAAACACACAAGATGTATGTAAGTATGTATAGTAATTTGTATATAAAATTTTCCTTTTTTTTTGCATGAATAAGTTATATGAAAATTGAGTTAAATAACGAAGAAAATTTGTTTATACTTTTACAACTTTGATGAGAAAATACCAAAAAAAAATGAAAATAAATGATAATGGCAAATTGAATTCAATTGATGACAGAAAAAATAAAAGGGGAATAAATATAACAGGCTTCCCTATTATACTCATTAACGCAATCAAAATTAAAATCCTTTTTATAGACTAGAATACAATAGTATCGTATAATAGTTTAAAGTTATTATAATTTTTTGCTCGAAATAAAATTTTAATTGCTAATTTTAGGATATTTATTATAGAATAATAGTATTTAGGTAAACTTCAATTCGGAATATTTCTAAATCTAGCAGATTTTTGTATGAGCAAGACGTGAAAATCAAAGTTGTATAAAGAACTACAAAACCATATTCTGATTCAAAATAAGTTTGAACCCATAAAATTTTATATTTGGAATTTGGACAGCCTTGTATATTAGATATTTCAGTAGTAATTAAGATTTCATTTTAAAAAATTTAAATTTTGGATTTGGACGAAACTCATGGGATTATTTATTAAAAATTTTATATGTAACCGAGTTTGTGAAATACATAAAGAGTACACTTTGTTGACTTGAAAACATATTTTTGTTTTGATTTCAATATTAACTGCATTGTGGTTAATCCGTTAAAATCATCTTATATACTAATACACTTTTATAAGTATTGAATTAAGAAAAATCAGTTATTAAAAGTACATACTGGTATATAAAACTGAAATAGTCACTTTTTTATGACACAATGAAAATTTGAAATGAGTTTTAAAAGGATAACAAAGTGTGTTTTTTAAATTATCTTGTAAATACTCCTGTTACTACGCTCTGCAAAGAGTATATTAAAAGTTGTCAAATAAACAGTTATTAAAGCCTGATGTCACTTTTAAACATTTCTGTTTTAAAGTTAATTTTTTTCCAAATTTCAAGCATATAAAAGAAATTAAAATTCTTAAAATTTTATAATTTTTCTTTTTTATAAATTCAAGACAGTCGGCAACAATATAACAATCTTTAACAGTTTCACAGTATAAGTAAAATTAAAGTTTCATTAAATTTTTTTTAACAGAAAAAAAAGATAAGGTGTGATAACGGTAAATTATAATTAAAGACTGATAAATTGTTGCAGTGCACATACAGAAAGAAAAAAGCTCCAAACTTAAATAACAACGACACTGTAACAAAGCAAGAACACCAAAATAAAAAAAAAATACTTTTGCATAAGAAATAATTTTCAAAAGTAGAAAAGAAAATAATCATGAAAATTATGACTATAAAGTACTCTAAATTTACATTTTAATAAGGATAATGGAAATATTTTATAATATAGTCTTTTGCTATGCTAGCATAATATTTAAATATTCTTCACTACTCGTATATTGCACGTAAGTATATTTTATAAATATAATAAACTACATGTACTCTACTCAAAGTATTCGTACAATTTTTTGTTAAAAAAAAAAGTAATCATGTTTTAAGGTAACCGAAGATGATAATAAAATAGTCGCGTGATTACATTTATTTTTTTATTACAATTTATGATTTACAACATAATAAGAATGCGTGATTATCCTCAATTTACTTCATTGTTACTCACAACATAAACCTCAAAATAATGACGTTGAATATAAATCAAATTTAAGAATTTTTTTTTTTGATATATCAATAAGTAATCAAGGAGAAAAGTGTTTTTTGTTTTGACTTTGAATCATTTTATTCAATTAAAATATGGGTGAAAAATTTTTGTGTATATGTGGGTATTTAACTATTGGTACGTAACATTAGTGTGGGTCATAAAAAATAAGGTTTCTTTATATTATGAATTTTACTAATACAACATTATAGTTGCGGAATCAATAAGAATGTGCCTATTACACTACTAATTTATCTTAATGGAAATTTCTTCATGCAACTGCAGAACAGATGGATGACGTAATCAAAGGAACGAGTTAAAGGCAGAAAAATTATTCATTAAAAAAAATTTCTCCTCGAAGTGGACCATCTGTTCTGCAGTTGCATGAAGAAATTTCCATTAAGATAAAAAAAAGGTTTCTTTAATCTAGGTGGTGGTTAAAGAAAGTTTTAACTAAATATTCTGGAACTACTACAATGACAAATGGATGGATGTTAAATTTTAGATTGCATTGTTTCTATAATTGCGAGAAAGTCAACAAAGTATAAAGTAGCTATTGCTATTACTCATTTTTTTATACAAATTCATTTTATTTATTGAGACCTACGGAGACAAAATTTCATTACTAATACTAAAGCAAGAGTATAATAAAAAATCTTATTTTTTTTTTCGAATATACCAATAGCCCACCCTATCGTAATTATACCGTTATTATTAAAAACAAGACGTACATGTTATATGTAAGTTGTAATAAAGTAAGAAAATAAGTTAAAAATAACTTATACGTACGTTAGTCAATAGTTTAAATAAGTGTTATAATTTCTTCCCCCTTTCAAAACTAAAAATATAAATATGGAATAACATCGCTGGGAGAAATATTGATTGAAAGGAAAGTAATTTTTGGCATTGTTGCGTTATTTTTTTTAGAAGCATATTTTCGGTTTGCATTTATATTTCATGACACATTTGTATTTGTTTCATGATACAATTATAAAATAGCATGCAAGAATGTTTTTGAAAATAATGTTTAAAGTTTGTTTTTACTTAATTTAATTACGTCATATGTACATGAGATAATTTTAGGTATTTTGAAAGAGTAATATCATCTCATATTGTTTTCCAATTCGTATCATGTCGGAGAAGCCTGATTTCATTGATTAAGAGCTTGAAAACAGGTTAAGATGATTCGGATATCAGGCAAACACCTTATGTTTTATAAATTATTAGGAGGTTGTTATTACGTACATAATAATATTTCCCTATTTAAACATTACATGAACACTCTCTCATCTACTCTTCTTTTATTAATTCAAAATGAAAATGCTTTTTGTTAACACAATCTGTTTTTGACTTATCAAAAATGATTTAGTTATAAGTATATCAAGCAACTCTAGGTCATTTAAATAATTTTATAATTTGTATTGTATTAATGACACACCTGGTGAGCTTAAACAATTCATATGTGTATGTACATATATAATTAAAATGGTAACTTGTATATTATATGAGATTTAAATACATTTTCGCTTTTAAAATTAATTATAAATGCAAATTTTAATTATATGATGCGATTTTTCACCCTTTTTAACCAAAAATACACCCAAACAATTTTAACATTTTTTAATGTACGAACGAATAAATATACGAATAATTTAATAAATTTTATTTCCATATAGATATATGTATACAAAAATTTTCTACATAAAAATTTATAAAATAATATTTTCCTTTTTTTTCTTTTTTAAGGTTTTGTAAATGGTGGGGCTTTACGTAACGTAAAATTAATTATAGAACCTTCATTAGTTGAACGTGGTAATCATGCAATATTTAAATGTATGTATGATATTCAAGGTGCATCACTCTATTCAGTAAAATTTTATCGTGGTCAACTAGAATTTTATCGTTTTACACCGGATGAATTACCCGGATATAAAGTGTTTCCGTATCCGGGATTTCATGTAGATGTAAGTATAAAATAAATATAAAAATTCATGGAATTTTTTGAAAACAAAATTTTTAGGGAAATTTGTTGTACAATATAGCACATTATAGGCACAAAATATTATATTATTATATTTTGTGTATAGTATTGCATTAAAATTAAATTATAAAAAGTATGTGGTTGTAAGTCGCGTCGCGTGCTACAAAATAATAATTATTATGGAGGAAGAAATGTGGGTATTAAAAACATGTAAAAACACCTAATTGTGTTTGTAATTATTTTTTAATGTTTTATTTGGAATTGTTTAGATTTTTTAAATTTTAAAGTATATTTTTTTTTTCTTAGTATATTGCTGGACAAGCAAATAAGGGAATAAATTTTCAGTAATTTCTTTATAATAACTTCTTCTTATTGGTTTTGGAGAGCACCAAATTAAAAAACGTGACATTAATTATTAATTACAGTTGAGTTTTGGGACCATTTTGAGTTTAATTAGTATTGAATTGATTATTATTTGACACCAAGGTATTTTACCTGGCAAAAATTAATATAACATCGAAAACGCATTTCTATTAAATTTCTTATAACAAGTTTTCAATAAAATAATTTAAATTACTAATTTAGACTTCTATAATAATCTAGTTGAAAGAAATACCGTCTTAAAATTCAAAAAATAGTCTATATTTTTTTCTCATTTTATAAATCACAAAATATTTTGTTAATTCCGAAGAATTTAACATTTAAATATTTACATAAATTTTTTGTTAAAGTATAAACTTTGCCCATGTAGGATTAGAGAAAAATTTTTGAAAATATTGTTGACCATAAATTCTACATGAATAATTTTTCTGAATTTAAATTAAGTTTGATTAACAATAGATTTCTATATAAAAATAATGTCGGTCTACTGAACTTTATATGTAATTTGCATTTTTAACTTCTATTTTTAACAATTTTGTATCCTTTACAATAAACCACATTTACCACATACAAATTACGCTTAATAAATGGAAAATAAAATAGGAATAAATTATTTTGGTTATTGCAAATGTAAATAAAATAGTTTACAATTCAATGGTATATGCTGCATACTTAAAATCAAAAAAATTAAACAAAATATTAAAATAGGTTCTAATTTACAAAATTGTTATTTTTCAATACCATGTTTTAATTTTAACATGGAAGCCAATGGTGCTGGCTTAAAATCAATTTTAATTCCTCCTTTTCATGTAAGATTTCAAAAGTCGTCCCACGCTAATTTATTAAATTTGTACATCCTTACCAGCTCTTATTTTGCAAAAAATATCACACAATTATTTGAAAATTGAAATTTTTAGAATAGAGGACGATTTCTTAGGGTCAGTATTTAATTTAGTCGTTTCATTTACTAGTTCTAACCGGAAATTTTAATGAGTTTATTTTTGAGTGAAATTAATTGTGTTTTAAAAATATTATACCCTACATTTCAGTCTATTCCTTTAAATATGAATAGAATTCCAAATACAATTACTGGTACAACTATTATACAATATTTTTTATTATTTTCATCATTCTAGATTTCAATGTCAAATGTATCTCAAGTTGTTTTACGTAATATCGGTTTTAATCTATCTGGAAATTTTTCATGCGAAGTAACAGCTGATGCACCATCATTTTCAACCGCTACAGCATTAGCATTTATGCAAGTAGCTGGTAAGTACACTATATTAAATTATAAAATAAAAAACAAAAAATTAAAAATTAAAAAAGAAAAGTCATAATACAAACAAAAACCAAGCTGTTTCAATGGATTTGAATAATCCTAGAATGTAAATGTAGTTTTGTTATTGTAAATGTAAATAGCAAAATAAATATGGAGATATATAAAGGACTTTGGAAAAAAAAATGTAGAGAAATGTTTGCAGTTTATAAAAGTTTAAACACAATATTGACTTTAATTTTATTCTAAAAATATTTGATTTAGAATTTGAAATTGCAAGTGGAAAATTAACTATAATATGTAGGTATGATATTATGCATATTATAAATTTTTATCATTTATATAACAGGAAAATGTCAATGCCATTAATATTTTTATCATTGTTATGAAAGCTTGCATTTTATATACTTATATTGCAAAATAAATGTTAATATATAAATCTTAAGAACTATAAATTTAAAATAAAAACTAAAAATGTATCGGGATATGAAAATATTTCGACATTCACTTTAAGTAAATGAGTTTAACAACAAATCAGCAATTATTAAAGAAATTTGAAAAATGGTACAATTTATTGAGAACAGTTAAATTAAGATAAATTATGATAATAAGTACAATTTATTGAGAATTGTTAAATTAAGATAAATTTTTTACCTCCAACAGAATTTAGATTAGATTAAATTTTTAAGGGAACCGAGTAGGAAAGGAGCAACCCCCCGAGTCACCGCAGCCATTCCTGAACCGACAGAATTTAGGTTTTTGATGAAAATTCCACCACAACATATTAATATTGCTGCATGGTCAAGTGCAATTACCTCGTCAGCGTTAAATTTACATAAATCATCTAGTATTTTTATATAATCAACGATATTATTTTTCCGAACAGAATCACAAGTTTTGAAAACTGTAATAAAGAGTTTTCAATCCCTATTTCTCACTAAAACCCACTTAAGTTCTTTTGTAAAGTCTTTAACTTAACTTATTTGCTGAACAATAATTGAAGATTGCCTAAAGAAATTATGATTTTCTTAACGTCAATTGTAACGACATAAGCAACATATTACTTCCAATTCTTTATTTTAGAATGCTTTTAAAAATATTTAGTTGAAAAAAATCTTAATATTCTTGAAGTACATTTAAATTAAACCCTTTCAAAATTAATTATTAAAAGTTATTTAGCGATTTTACAAAAAAAACACAAAAAATCATAAATAAATATTAAATCCTAATTACCGTGCTACTTTATTATATAAAGTTAAAATCATCCTTAGAATCCACTTTTATATTTATAATACTTTTTTAATACAATTATGTATTATGGTGTAAATTAAATAATGATAGGGTTTTACAAAATTAACTCAAAATTTTAATTAAATAACCATTCTTATAGTTTATTCATATACAACACCACCACCACAGCATTAAAAACACTGAAAAGGATTAACAATGGAACAATAAATTTTCATATTTTTTAAAATTTATTTGTTTTTTTATAATATACTTAATTTAATCACGTAGGAGTGGTTAGCTTTTTAGATTTGAAACGTTTTGTTGAGAATCGTGTAAAATTATAAAATGAATGCAATATTTTTTTTTGCTTTACATTTTGGTTTTGTTTTTGTTTGTATTATAAGAGGTTAAAATAAATATTAATACTTTTCATAATTTACAATGTCTGGAATATAATCATAATAATAATAATATAACACTTAAATAATTTAAAATTAAGCACAAAATCAAATATTCAAACAAGCAATACTGAAAGTCTTATGCCATACCATATTTTATTGTATAATGGTGTTACAGCAAAATTTAACGTTATTATGTATTTTACAATTTGTACAACTTTATAATGATAAATAAATAGTCATTTTAATAATGTTAAACAAAAAAGTATTGCGAGATCTGCTAAAATAGATTTAAATTTATGTCAGAAAAACAAAAATTGTATGAAACTACAAAATTATTATGGGTCCTTTTTCTAAGGGTTAAAAAAACAATTTTTTTTAATTTGAAAAAGATATTTTATTTTAATTAAAGTAAAAGTTTCGTTTTTCGTTCTAAGTATTTATTCTTTCCGAAAATATTCGGAAAACTATCAATTTTGTGGAATTTTTTATCAAACCCTTTAAAATTATCAGGTTTTTCAAACTGATTTGTAAAAATCTCATTTATTTGAAGGATCCAATATAAAATCAGATTTTTATTGTTAAATTCAGTTCAGCTATTGCTAACTAATTGTTAAATTCAGTTCAGCTATTGCTAACAATATGATTATTCATTTGGTTTTTCAAAAGATTATCTATGACATAAAGAAAATAATATTGTATTGGCAAATGAAATAGTTTCAACGGCCAATATAAACAAGACTTAAACTTAAAACTATAAATTCAACGAATGGAGTCATTATTTATGCATTTGTAGTGAAAATGGTAAAAGGAATGAATTACATCTTAAATGTTAAAACATACAAAATAAAATGGCAAAATAATAACGTAGTTTATTTGGGAAATGAGAGAACATGGGAATTTGCTGTAATGGGAAATTGCTGTAAATTAAAGAACTTTTGAGCATAGCTAAAATTTATGCATAGCATAATGTTACAGTGTATAGGATATCAAGGACAGACGGTCATATTTATTATATATATAATTTTCAAAAACAAAATTTCCAAAAAATTTTTTTTTCTTGAAGTGGTTTACATAATTAGTTTAGAAAACTGAAAATTCAAATAATCAAATTTTACTTAAATTCACGTAATTATGAAAAACTTTCATTACTTTCTTGTATTTTTGCTAGACTCAAATTCAAGAACAATGAAATTTTTTGAATTGTTGATGATTCTTAAATTTTTTGAAAAGGTTACTTATTAATTTAATATTTCCATAAATTTCACAGTGCACCATAATAATATCTATGATCGATGTATATGTTTTGTACTTGTAGTTATAAGGTATTGAAGGTGGGTGTTAAATTGCTTTTCAATTTTAGTATGTACGTGAACTAGTTATTTTAGAAAAAGGACAAAAATGTTTCAAATATTAGATATTAAAATTTTCATTATGCCAATTTGTGTACAAAAATAAATTTTAAATTTCTTATAGAATTTCTTTAATAGAAAGTTTTTTCCTTTAAAATTTCATTTTTTAAAAAAATGTGCCTAGTAAATTTTTTATTGGAACTTTAAATTATTTAAATGTTTCACAAAGTTTTGAATGAAAACGTAACTTTAATTTTTGTATTATTACGGATATTTCAAATGAAAAAAAAATTTGTTTCGAATTCAATTTTTCAAACAAAAAAAAAAAAAATATTTTGAACTTTCTTTTCAGCAGTTCAGAACTTTTCAGGTGAAAATCTTTTCTTTTTTTTTTGCAATAAAAAATTTAAAGGTTTTTCTTTTTTATTTAAGTTTATGGAAGGAAAATATTATAAGTTTTGCGGTAAAAAAAAAAACCAACATTTTCAATATTTTTTCTTATGTGATATGAAAATGAAGAAAGTTTTTATTATTGCCCCAAATTTTTCTCAAACAAGTGTGAAAAACTTCAAATTTTTCTTTGTAGGTTGGCAGCAATTTTTTTCTTTTTATTCTATTTCTCTGAAAATTCGGAAATTTTCTTTAAACTTTGCAACACGTTTCAAATTTTTGTTTTTAATTTTTATTATTTAAAAATTTAAAATTTAATAAATTTTCATTAAGTATTTAAATTTTAAATAGCGCATCTACTGGACAACTATTTTTCTTATCCCACTTCCTAGAGAAAACTGAAATTAGCTGTATTCAAGCTTAGTTTATTTACAGCTATGGTCAAAAAAATAGAAACACTTAATATACGTTTTTAATTTCTTTCATATCTTTTGTTGAAAGATGGAATTAAATGCCATCTTTTGCAAAATTATTTTGCTATATTATGCTCTATTGTGAATAATATATTTATTGTTACTAAAAAACTTTAATCTGTGGGAATTCACCATTTGTAAGTAAAAATACCGTATTTCATCTGGTCAAAATAATAGAAACTCCCGACGAATGTAGCTTTATTGATGAATAAAACTAATTTTTTTTAAATTATTTTAGCAAATATTGAAGAATATTTAAATTATAATACTCAAATTATTTAATTTTTTGAAAAAGTGGCAAAATATTGCAGAATTATGGGTCGATCGAATCATTGTAGTATTAAGGAAAAAGAAATAATTAAAAACTTAAAAAACCAAGGAAAAAGTGTAAGAGAAATTGCCACAATTATTGAACGTTCAGTACATTTAGTTTTTAACGCTTTAAAAAGTACTCGTAATAAAAGTCCTGAAACACGAGGAAAAAAACAAAAACAAGTGAAAAAATGAACAGAAAAATTGTAATGATATGTAAAAAAGCCCCATTCATATCTTCAAAAGAAATTTTAAAAGAATATGAGGCTAATATGAGTGATAGAACCATACGTAGAATATTAAGCAAAAATAATTTATTTGATCGCAAAGCTAGAAAAGTTCCCTATGTCAGTAAAAAAAATATTAAACATAGAATAACTTTTGCTAAAAATCATTCGGAGTGGATTGGGCCAGAGGGTGTAAAGAAGTGCCGCAATATCCTTTGTTCGGACGAAACAAAAATTAATTTATTTGGGCCAGATGTTCCTACCTTCGTTAGACGTCCACCAAATACTGAATTAAACCCCAGGTTCACACGAAAGAACGTAAAACATGGTGGCGGCAATATAATGACTTGGGGTTGTTTTTCTTGGTATGGTGTAGGGCCTATATTTTTGATAAAAGAAAAGATGACTCAATATCATTATCTAGAAATTTTAGAGAATATTATGCTTGTTTATACGGCAGATAATACGCTTTTGATTTGGCACTACCAACAAGATAATGATCCCAAGCATACTGCGCGAAACGTACAACAATGGTTTTATGAAATCAATATTTTGCTAGTAGAATGGCCAGGGCAGTCGCCGGATCTTAATCCAATAGAAAATTTATGGAA